AGATTTTTGAACGACCGTTTATAGGAATGCTTTTTTTTTTTTTTTTACAAACATTCATGTGCAAATTCTGGAGTACATTCGATGACTTCATTAGGCAGATTTACTATAGCTGGATCACTCAGAATCTGGTGCTGCTGTGCATGGGAGCCAATCAGCTTCTACATTCAACTTGTTCAATTAAGCTTTGACAATAAAACCTGGAAGCTGATTGGTTTCTGTGCACAGCTGTTTTAATAAATCAACCCCAATGACTGTCATTAGTACTTAAAAAAAAAAAAAAAGTTTGTTTTTAAAGTACATGTAAACCCTCACCTTGTAAAACAACCCAGTTAGTTTAAAATCAAAATAAAAGGCAAAACATTTATGTATACATATAATAAACATTATAGATCCCCTTTTTGATAAGTGATCACATACACTCTTTTCTGCATAAGGAGGAGGGAGGAGAAACTGCAGTACATTTATCTTCCCAGTGAATGGCTGTGCGGGGGTGGGGCTCAGGACAAATCTGATCCTTGGATTAGCTCCCAGCACAGCCAGAAAACTGACCATGTTGTGCGTGGTCAGATTTAAATAGGAAAGCAAAGTAAGACCACTCTAGTTGAAAAGGAATCAGTGATCCCCACAACAAATTTCAAACAAAATTCTTCTAGTTTATGGTTAGCTTAGAGTGTTACTAAACCTCGGGACCCTGCATTCACCATATCTGGTCTCCCCGGACCCTGCATTCACCATATCCGGTCTCCCCGGACCCTGCATTCACCATATCCGGTCTCCCCGGGACCCTGCATTCACCATATCCGGTCTCCCCGGGACCCTGCATTCACCATATCTGGTCTCCCCGGGACCCTGCATTCACCATATCCGGTCTCCCCGGACCCTGCATTCACCATATCTGGTCTCCCCGGACCCTGCATTCACCATATCCGGTCTCCCCGGACCCTGCATTCACCATATCCGCTCTCCCCGGACCCTGCATTCACCATATCCGCTCTCCCCCCGGACCCTGCATTCACCATATCCGGTCTCCCCGGACCCTGCATTCACTATATCCGCTCTCCCCGGACCCTGCATTCACCATATCCGGTCTCCCCGGACCCTGCATTCACCATATCCGGTCTCCCCGGACCCTGCATTCACCATATCCGGTCTCCCCGGACCCTGCATTCACCATATCCGGTCTCCCCGGACCCTGCATTCACCATATCTGTCTCCTGGACCCCGCTTTAACTATATCTGGTCCCCTAGGACTGTGCATTCACTATATCTGGTCTCCCTGGGACCCTGCATTCACTAGATCTGGTCCCCCAGGACCCTGCATTCACTATATCTGGTCCCCCAGGACCCTGCATTCACTATATCTGGTCTCCCCGACCCTGCATTCACTATATCTGGTCCCCCAGGACCCTGCATTCACTATATCTGGTCTCCCCGGACCCCGCATTCACTATATCCGGTCCCCCGGACCGGACCTATATCCGGTCTCCCCGGACCCCGCATTCACTATATCCGGTCTCCCCGGTCCCTGCATTCACTATATCTAATCTAGTCTCCCACAGCACATAGAACACTGACACCAATAGGACACCAATGGGACACTATTCCTCCCGCTGACACCAACAATGGGAAACTATTCCTCCCATTGATACCAGTGATGGGGCACTATATCTCTTAACACCAATGATGAGGCATTGTTTACTCCCAATGATTCCAGGACAATTTTCTTATCCCACTGGCAACAGTCCGGCCCCCCTAAAGTCTGTAACACAGTAAACCGGCCCTTCGTGTATAAAGTTTGGAGACCCCTGGTCTAAGAAACTGGGGGCGTCAAAGATTTCATCACTTCCGGTTTCGCTCATATGTAAAGAAGCCATTACCAGCTTGTGAAAGTATCTGATCAAATCAATCTGTTTGATCAGACGCTTTTAAGACAGACCCCAGATGTCTCAGTAAAGAGTACCTGTCACTGCCCATGCTATCACAGGGGATGTTCATCTCCTGTGCCAGCAATAAATGCAAACAAAAAAATGTTTAAATAATATTGAAAAAAAAAAAAAAAAAAAAAAAAAAAAGAAGAGCATCCCTGCCCCCTCGTGTTCATGTGCAAAGGTGAATGCGCATTTATTTATCTATTTCAGGTACTTCTATAGCACCACCAATTACGCAGCACTTTACATATATATTGTACATTCACATCAGTCCCTAACCCTCAATGGGTGTACAATCTACGGTCCCTAACTTACATTCATACATACATACACATACTAGGGACAATTTAGACAGGAGCCAATTAACCTACCACATGTCTTTGGAGGTGGGAGGAAACCGGAGTACCCAGAGGAAACCCACACAGGCACAGGGAGAACATGCAAACTCCAGGCAGGTGGTGCCGTGGTTGGGATTTGAACCAACAACCCTAGTACTGCCAGGCAGAAGTACTAACCATTTAGCCACTGTGCATGCACATGTAAGTGGTGTTCACACATGTGAGGTATTGCAGCGAATGTTATAGCAAGACCGATACCATAGCACCGGACCTCCTGTGTAACTCTACACTGGTATCCTGTAAAAGCTTTAAAAGCGTTGCCTATGGAGATTTTTAAAATACAACTATAGGCAAAACTTTTTTTTCCCTTTTGGATAGAGTAAGGGAAGGTTACAACCCCTGCTGGTTTATTTTTTGCCTTTTTAGTCCAATTTGGGAGATTTACCTTCACTTCCTTTCCCATGGCTAAAACAGGAAGTGAGAAAATCTCTGCAAACTAAGAGAATTTCTTTGGGACCCCCAATACAACAAAACTAGTGTCCCAATTAGAAAATTTCCCCTCTTACTTTTTTGGGGGCAACCCAAAATTTGGGGTTTCTTTTACGTTCACTTTCATTGATAACAACAAACAGGACAAATAGAGAGGATGAACAGCTGTTCTAATCCGTCTCCAATCCCAAAACTGAAAAAAAAGTTTTGCCTTTAGTTATATTTTAAAGCGGAGTTCCAATCACCTGTCAAAAAATAAAAGTCAGCACCTACAAAAATTGTAGCTGCTGACTTTTAAAAAAACAGCCACTTACCAGTCCCTCTGTCCGTGGTGTGTCCCCAGCCTGTTTCACCTGCCATCCTAGATTCCTAAAGGCCGGCATCCTCAGTGTGGGCACCCAGCTGTGGCTGCTTGTGGCTTCACAGCCAGGTACCCACTGCGCATGCGCGAGTAGTGCTGCGTTTCATGAATGGTCCTGTGGTCTTCTGGGACCCGTCACGTGTCCTAGAAGACTACGGGGAAGGAGGGAGGACACCTTCCGTTTCCGATCACCTAGGCAGTCCGGCCGCAATTGGGAGCCGGTACCTGTCAAATTCGGGTACCCGCCCCCCCCCCAAACGTGCCAATCCTTAATTGGGAGCGGTCCTTACAGCGGAACTTCCCCTTTTGGGTGGAGCTACACTTTAATTACTATAGCTGGCACTGTTACAATTTTATAGCATTACGTCTTAGGTATCTATTTACCGGACGTACCATCTTTTTATATTTTTACCAAAAAATGGGTATTGCATCGTATTTGTCTGCACTGAAATTTATCAAAGTGTATTTCTTCCAAAAAATTGTGCTTTAAAAACCGCCACACAAATAACACCGTTACATAGTTAATCTGGCTGAAAAAAAACAAAAGTCCATCCAGTTAAACTTTTAAAAAAAAAAAAAGTATAATCCTATACCCACAGTTATTATTGTGTAACATAAAATATTGCAACACTTACCATTTTATTGTCTAGGGCCTCTGCTTACAAATATGTATGTATTTTGGGGGGGCTCTAATAATTTTCTAGCAAAAAAATGGCAATTTTTATACGTATGACAAATGTCACAACTGGCCTGGGGGTCAAGAAGTTAAAAACAAATAAAAGCGCTTAAAGTGAAGCTCCACCTAAAAGGGGAAGTTCTGCTTTAAGCCTTTTTCCCCCGCTCCCCATTAAGGATTGGCACATTTGGGGAGGGGGGGGGGGGGGGTTGGCTCTGATCCCACTTCCGCTGCGAATCGAAAGCGGAAGTTGTCCTCCCTCCCCGTAGTCTTCTGGGACACATGACAGGTCCCCCAGAAGACTACGGGGCCATTCACAAAGCGCAGCACTTCTCGCGCATGCGCAGTGGGCACCCGGCTGTGAAGACGCAATCAGTCACAGCTGGGTGCCCACACTGAAGATGCCGGCGCCAGGGAGAGAAGTCGGCCGGTGAAACCAACAGTGGTGAGGACATTGCTGGACCGAGGGACAGGTAAGTAACTGTATTTTAAAATCGAAAGTGGAAGTTGTCCTCCCTCCCCCATAGTCTTCTGGGACACATGACAGGTCCTAGAAGACTACGGGGCCATTCACAAAGCGCAGCACTTCTCGCACATGCGCAATGGGCACCCGGCTGTGAAGCCGCAAGTTGTCACAGCCGGGTGCCCACACTGAAGAAGCCAGCGCCAGGGAGAGAAGTCGGCCAGTGAAACCATCCGTGGTGAGGACACCGCTGGACCGAGGGACAGGTAAGTGGCTGTATTTTAAAAGTCAGCAGCTACAGTTTTTGTAGCTGCTTTTATTTTTTTCTTTTCAGGTGGAACTCCGTTTTAATATTTTGCATATCATAACACATCTTATTACTGGTGACCTTCCTGTGGATGTGTAGACTCCCAGCACAACAAGGACAGTTATGCCTGCACTGGACTGCGGTAACTGACCCTTACGCATTTGCGTTGCAGCACAACACCCAGCGACACAACATGCATTGCTGCGCACTGCCGAAAATGCCACATGCGTTGTCTATGATTTAAATGAACTACAATATACTTTATACTGGCTTGAAATCCCTTTTTTATTTTTTAATTTTTGGATGGAGTTACTCTCTCATTACAGGCTTTGCTCTCTTTAAGACACTACATGACCTGCTAAAAGACCCAAACACGCAATTAGTGCAACTTTGTATATAAGAATGTACTACAGTGCTATACGAGCCACTGAATTTCCACTAGAGTTTTGGGAGCGAGCCCGGGGGTGCGAGCAAAATACCGAACAAGTAGAAAAGTCCAACAAACAGGTTGAGCTTGGCTGTCTTCTGGGGGATCCCAGTGAAGTTCTGGCTCCTGAACTGGCGCTCCAGGGAAAAAGCCAGCGGGATGGTGAGAAGCGGCAGGGCCATGCTGATGGTGTAACGGGTGGCCAAGATGCAGAAGATGACATACGGGAAGAAGACCAGCAAGTTGTATAACACATAGGAAAGGGTTGGGCCGATGAGGATGGCCAACGTGACAATGCCAGCCTGTCTGTCTGACTCCATGTCCCGAGTGTTGTTGCTGTGAAGGATGGCCTCTGTGTTCAATGCCAGGGGCACAGCATACAGCAAGGGGGTGACTGACAGGGACCCGACCTGGACTGCGTGGGCAAACATGACCGCCAAGGGTCCGAAGGTGATGAGGATCACCAAGTCTCCTAGAGCCACGTACTTGAATCCAATTCCTGCAAGATAAAAATGAAGGCAAAATGTTTAACATGGAAATAATTAAAAAAAAAAAAAAAAAATAATAGCACTGTCCCTCATTTAAGAGCAGTGATGGTCAACTTACAAGGGCCCCTGTGATCACATAGGGACCACACACAAATATTCAGTAATCGTAATCCAACATAAGACCATCATAGACTGTGGATGTGCTACAGGAGTGATTGGAGACTGGGGACATGTTCCATGAGATCACTGCAACTACAGTCCATACAGATCATTGCTCCCACTCATCGCTGTGGGGCCTGAGGGTCATACAGTAAGTACCAAAGATATCCACTATAATAACCCAGAATCAATGACCTGACTTAATGGGGCCCATTTTTTAAAAATGTAAAGCATTCAAAAACACCGATCTTGGTGAAGAGGAGAAATCTGGGGTCTTATTGACCCCAGATCCCACCATAAAGAGTACCTGTCACATGAATATTGCTGTCACAAGGGAAGTTTACATTCCTTGTGACAGCAATAAAAGAGATCAAGAGAAAAAAAAATAAAGCAACAGTGTAAAAATAAAATACATAAGTAAATAAATTATTAAAAAAAGAAAAAAAAAAAAAATGTAAGTGCCCCATCCCCCCATGCTCACGCACAGAGGCGAATGCACACAAACAGCGATAGTCACAAACATGTGAGGTATAACTGCAAATGTCAGATTATGGGAAGTAATTCTAGTATCCTCTTTAAATACAAAGTGGTAACCTGTAAAGGCTTTTAAATAGTGAAAAAGCTGTAAATATTACTAACAAAGAGGCCCTGTATGAAAACTAAGGCAACATCATTGTAAATCTAACAGGTGGGTCAATATGTAAAAAAACACATCTCAAAGTTCACATATAAGGAGGCCCCTTTCACATGGGGTGGATTCTGTCAAGTGGATCTGCCTGCTCAGTGGGTGATCTGTCTGCTGATCCCCACTGAGCAGGTGGATGACAAGCCTGTGCCTGCTCCGCTTGTACAGAGCAGACACAGCCCGCTGTTCTCCATGGGGCGGTTGGATGTAAATGGACATGTTTCCGTTTACAGCTGACTGCCATCCGATCCAATCCTCTTGACCAGGGGTGTCAAACACCATTTCATCGCGGGCCATATCAGCAATTGCGGTTGCCCTCAAAGGGCCGATTGTATCTGTAAAACTAGATGTTCAGAGCACCCCACCCCCCATTACATCAGATGTCAACAATCCCACACCCTCCCTAACATCACCGTGCACCCCCTTTGTGGGCAGAACTGGAAAGCAGAAAGTGCAGGTCTGGAGGAGGACCAGAGGAGGAGTGGAGTCAGTTACTAGAGTCTGCTGAATGCTGAGACCAGGGGAGGCAGAGATGAGGGGGTGCTGCAGCTGCAATGAGAATGCAGCAGAGAAGAGTTTTATTCTCTTCTCTGCTGCCGAGTGCTGAGACAACGTGGGGGCGGAGACAAAGGGGTACCTGCAGGAGAGGTACAAGGGCCACATGCAACGGCCTGGAGGGCCAGGTTCGGCCCACGGGCCTTGTGTTTGACACCTGTGCTCTAGACGGATGGGAAACAAATCCCCATCAGTCTGTTTTTGGAGGACCGGATCGGATGCAGGTGGGTGTAAACGGACACATGCCCATTTACATCTGACCACTTTACAGAGATCAATAGGTGGTTCAATCGGGTCAGCCTGAAAAACGGACAGGCGGACCTTATTGGTCCACCCGTGTGAAAGGGGCCGAAAGTGTTAAATAACCAAAATACTCTGAACAATCCACAAATACATGTAGATAAGATCATCAGGAAATAAAGTCCATATCCGGGGGAATCAACAAGGTGTGCATACTCCTTTAAATGACACACTGGCCACCAGTGTCACTCCAACCTGCTCACCTTCATAATCCAGGAAATCAGGTCTAACAGGTTTGTATCCCCCCAGGGATATAATACGGCTCAGTCGTCCACATCGAAAATTGTTTTAGCATTTCCAGAGCAAAGATTCCTCTGCAAAATACTGATCACCGCATATGCATCCATATGAAAGACAAAACTCTCATAATTCTCTCGGAATGCTTTATTCACTGAGTGAGAACAATCATTCATGATTCATTCCAAACGGAGGACCTGTAGAGGCTTTTATGGCCTAGAACGTAGGGAAGCCACGTTTGTCACAGCCTCACAGACGCATGCAATTTTAAAGTGGTTATAAAGCCTAAACAGTGGCTAAATGTTTAGCACTTCCGCCTGGCAGTACTCAGGTTGCTGGTTCGCATCCCAACCACGGCACCACCTGCCTGGAGTTGGCATGTTCTCCCTGTGACTGCGTGGGTTTCCTCCGGGTACTCCGGTTTCCTTCCACACTCCAAAGACATGCTGGTAGGTAAATTGGCTCCTGTCTAAATTGGGCCTAGTATGTGTATGTATGAATGTGAGTTAGGGACCTTAAATTGTACGCCCCTGAGGGTTAGGGACTGATGTGAATGTACAATATATATGTAAAGCGCTGAGTAAATTGATGGTGCTATAGAAGTACCTGAAATGAATACTTTTTTTAAAACTTAAAAGAACTCCAGGATTTTTTCCCCCATGTAGTGGGCCTGTTCCCACACTGTATGGGTTAATTGCTTGTTTTTGCTAGAGGTTCGGATAGCGGAGATATACAGTATCTACCCAATCCGCCGTTGATCCTCTGAGCGCAAATACCAGTCCCTGCTGCTCCTGCCCCTCTGCATGCTAGCGGTCTTGTGCATGGACTGTTCCTGACGTCATCGCGTCCATAGACTGGCTCTGGACATGAGAACGACAGGAATAGTCCCATTGCAGAACATGGGGGAGCATTTTTGTGCACCCCTAGACAAAATGAGCAGTTAACCCATGCAGTGCGGGCACAGCCCCACTGCACGGGGAATAAAGAAAAAATTCACGGAGGTCCGCTTCATCACATTCCTTGCATCAAGGCAAAAATTGCTTAGGCATCAGGTATTGTCCCCTCACCTCTCCTTAAGTCCTCATGCACACGGGACGTTTTGATAATGCTGGGAACGTTAGCTGTGTAAAGTCATGTTAAAAACGTGGGTTTTTCAGCTTTTTTTTAGCGTTTTTGCATTAGCGTTTAACACGTTTTGCCGTGTTTTTCAGCTTTTTTTTTTTTTCACCCAAAAAAAATTTTTCTTCAAGAGTGGGTGATGTGTGGCATAAGCTTCTAATGTTGGCCCAGAAATGCCAAGATAGTAGAAGCAACCCCTCCAAATGACCCCTCTTTGGAAAGCAGACACTCCAACGTATTTGCTAAGAGGCATGGTGAGTATTTTGCAGATCTCATTTGTTGCCACGTTTGTGGAAAACGTAGAAAGACAAAAATTATTTTTTTCTTTTCCTTTTCAAAACTCTGTGACAAAAATGATATCTGTAAAATACTCACCATGCCTCTTATCAAATTCCTTGGGGTGTCTACTTTCCAAAAAGGGGTCATTTGGGGGGGTGTTTGTATTATCCTGGCATTTCAGGGCCTCCGAAACTGTGATAGGTAGTGGGGAAGTGATATGAGGAAATATGCCCTTTGAAAGCCTGGAGGTGGTCATTGGATTTTGGGGGCCTGTATGCAGCTAGGCTGTCAAAAAGTCTCTCACATGTGGTATTCCCATGCTCGGGAGAAGTAGAAGAATGTATTTTGGGGTGTAATTCCACATATACCCATGGCATGCAAGAGCAATATATCATTAAAGTGACAACTGTGTGTAAAAAACAAAAAAAAAAAAAAAAGAGAAAGGCTTGCCATCTTTAAATTTGTGGCAAAAAATAAAATATTCCATGGACTCAACATGCCTCTCTGCAAAATCCTTGGGGTATCTACTTTCCAAATAGGGGTCTTTTGGGGGGGGGGGGATGGGGGGTTGTACTGCCCTGGCATTTTAGCACCTCAAGACATGTGACAGGCAGTCAGAAAGTAAAAGCTACGTAAATTCCAATATACATACCATAGTTTGTAGATGCTATAACTCTCACACAAACCGTTTAATATACAGGTATTGAGATTTTTTTTTTTTACCAAAGATGCAGCAGAATACATTATAGACTAAATTTTTGTCTAAGTTTGAGTTTATTGAATAATTTTTATAACCAAAAGTGAAAAATATTTTTGTTTTTTTTTCAAACATTTCAGTCTTTTTTTGTTTATAGAGCAAAAAGTAAAAACCGCAGAGGTGATCAAATACCACCAAAAGAAAGCTCTATTTGTGTGAAAAATGGACATAAATTTCGTTTGGGTACAGCATTGCATGACCGCGCAATTACCACTTATAATAGCGCTGTGCAGAACAACAAAAAATAATCTGGTCATGAAGGTGGGTAAATCCTCTGAGGGCAAGTGGTTAAAAACATTGAAATATTTAAAAAAAAATGCTTTTAATAACACTTTAATCACCTCCAGTTTAATTATATATGAACTGGTGGCAACCATTAAATTTGGTGCATTAAGAGTGCCACTTTGTAAAAATGGCGCTATTAAGAACTACCAGAATATGCTGCATGTGTCAGTAAAGTGAGCAAAACTGGCAGTGGAGATTTTTGTATTTTAAAAGTCCACATAAGCAAAAAACTAGTTTTTAGTTCTTTATTGAATTCTCTCCATAATGTTTGGAGGGGTTTAACTAATCTTCAGGCCTAAAATTATTTTTTAAACACTTGTATGAGAAGAGAACCCCCCCCCCCCAAAAAAACCTTGGCAGTGAAAGGGTTAAACTGTAAGAGAGGATGAAGCCTACAAATCATAGTGAACCCTACCTCCGGTGTAGAGGAAAGAGCCAGACAGGCCCCCAAAATATATCAGGGCCATCTGCTCCAGCTTGAGCTTGGACAGGAAGTAGAGACACGCAGCACACACACAGCCCAGCGTGTACAGCACCATGCCGAACCGCACCACGTCCTGCGGCTCCAGAATTTGGTCCACTAAAGTCCGGTCATCGCTCTTCTTGTGGTCGATGCCTTTAGTGAAGTCGTAGTAGGTGTTGACCAAATTCCCAGCCCCGTGGACGGCCAGGACTGCGACGGCGCAGGCCAAGAGCACAATAAAGTCAAGCCTGCCTTCGGCCCTGTACGCCAAGGCACTGCCCAGGGCCACGGGGGTGAGGGAAGCGCTGAAGCTCCAGGGACGGAGGGCGAGGACGTAGCTGGCGCATTTCTTCTTCCAGCCCACGGCTTTCGTCGGTGGTCTGTCCACCGGAGGATGAACGGGACCGTTGGGTAGCGGCGCAGAGTCCTTGGAGAGGTCGGTGAACTCCGCACCATTGAACAGCTCGGTGCTGATGCTGATGTTATTGGAGCAGTTGTCAGATTTCATGGTTCTAGTTGCAGTAAAAAAATGAGATGCGGCTTCAGAGTCTGCTGTGTGAGGAACAACCCCGACTGCAAAACAAACAGAATAATTGTTAGCCAGTTCAGCTTTCAGCCCTCTATGTCCCCTATGTACCCCTATACACCACTGCATCCGACACTTTGCATTGCACTTGGTGATGTAAGGCTTGGATGCAGCTGCTCGGCCATGGAAACCCATTCCGTGGAGCTCCCTACGCACTGTTGTGCTAATCTGAAGGCCACACCAAGTTTGGAGGTCTTTAGCCATTGATTCTGCAGACAGTTGGCAACTTCTGCGCTTCAGCATGCGCTGACCCCACTCTGTCATTTTACGTGGCCTTCCAACTTGGTGGCTGAGTTGCTGTTGTTCCCAGTTGCTTCCACTTTGTTATAATCTCACTAACAGCTGAGCATGGAATATTTAGTAGCCAGGAAATGTCACGGATGGACTTATTGCACAGGTGGCAATCTATCACGGGACCACGCTTGGATTCACTGATCTCCTGAGAGCGACCCATTCTTTCACAAATGTTTGTAGAAGCAGTTTGCATGCCTAGGTAATGATTGTATACACCTGTGGCCATGGAGGTGATTGGAACACCTGAATCCAATGATTTGGAGGCCTGGCCCAATTCTTTTGGCAATATAGTGTGTGTGTGCCAGGAGCAACACAGCCAGAGGTAGCATTGGCAACTATCATCTTGGCTAAAGTATTCATCTTGGATTAAGTATTGAGCATTGCACTTCGGCTCTGCATCATCTGAATAACTCTTCTCTATCCCATCACAGGTAAATGTCTGCAAGCAATATCCATCTGTACTATTGCCCATGCCATGTATGAATGCTAATTCACCCTGCACCGCTATATGGTAATCTGTGCTGCTTTTAAAATCCACCTCTAACTGAAGCTGATTCATTACGATCAATGTTCTTATTGGTCATTCTTACTGCGTCATAAATCTTTAACTCTGGCCCATATTACTGTGGTGTTTATTTTGCTCTTATTGTCTAACCCAAATTTATTAGCCAATCCTAATCTTTATAACTCTGCCCTCCTGCTCTCTTGTCTCTTGTAGTACTCCTTTAGTGTGAGAAGTTTGCCCTGCTAGCCATGTGTCTCTGCAATGCATTCCTAATTGGTCGATTAAAAATACCCTCACCCAACTCAGTATAAATGTAGGCCTTCCTTAGGGGAGGCACAGCCAGGGGCAGCATTGGCAACTATCATCTTGGATATACACCCCCAGTGACATCCGGTATAACTTGGCAGGTCAGGCGACTTGCAGATTGTATGCCAAGTCGCACCCTATTGTCCGCTATTAGAGCGGTCATATCGGTGTGGTTCCGACTTGGTCACAGCCACACCGATTTCCTAAGTAGTACATGCACTACTTTTGTTGCGATTTGCATAGACATCTGTGTCAGATGTCTTGCAAATCGCAACTGAAATCGGCAGGTCACACAATTTTGAAATCGTGCGACTTCACTGTAAGTCGCACGATTTCAAAATCAGCTTTGATGTGAATGGGGGCTAAGTATTGAGCATTGCACTTCGGCTCTGCACTTCAGCAAATGCACAAAGCGAGAAGCAGACAACTTCAAATACTAAACAGACTACAGGTGACCTGTTTCCCTATTCAGTTCTTATCAGGGTGGATAAAAATCAATGATTTTTTTAAAAAAAGAAAAAAAAAAAATCAGATTTTTTTTATTTAAATCGGATTTTTTTTAATAAAATGCTTTTTGAGGAAAAATGTATTACCATCCAAAGGTTATTCCATCATGAAATAAAGATTAGTTTTTTAATTATGTAGAATAAGGCTGTATAGGTTTAATTTTTTTGGTAAATAAATTCCATGAATCCATTCACAATGTCATGCTCTTCCAGAGGTTTTTGTAAGATTATTGGGCAGTTTCTCTGCCTACAAGATATTATCACAGATGCTCGGTTTACTTTTGCAGTTCTCAAAACTGAATTTGACTCAGCGGAGATCACATGCCTCTTCTTCACAGCAAAAATGTTATAACATGAACAGAGTTAAGAAAAAGACCTTCATCCTAACTTCTACAAACCTATGAATACAGAATCAACCCCTTCAGTGCTAAGGTTCAAGAAGTTCAGTGAATAGAATAGAAACAATATTTTTCTGATTGTTTGGAGTGGAATAGATCTGCACAAGAAGAAAGTGAAACTAAGTGTGAGGAGGAAGGGGCTGACTGTCTAAGTTTCTTAAAATATACCGGATTTTTCGCTCCATAAGACGCACTTTTTTCCCCCCAAAAAAGGGGGGAAAATGTCAGTGTGTCTTATGGAGAGAATATGGAGTGGCCGGTCCGGTATTTCCACCGCCGCCGTGTCAGAATACCGGGCCGGCCGCTCAGCTCTGCAGCGGGACCTTATGGAGATGACTGCTGACCTTTGGGGAGGGGGAGCGGGTACCTGAATTTGACAGGTACCCGCTCTTACTTCCGCGGAGTTGTTCTTTGACCTTACCTGTTCCTCTATCCAGCCGCACGCTGTCTTCCCGGCTTCTGTAGTGTGGGCGCTCGGCTTGACAGCCGGGTGCCAAGTGCGCATGCGCAAGAAGCGATGCTTTTTGTAAAATGGTAAGGCAGTACCTGGGACACATGACAGATCCCAGAAGCCGCCGGACCAATCACAAAGCGCAAGTGCTTCTCGCTCATGCGCACTGGGCACCTGGCTGTCATGCCGAGCGCCGACACTACAGAAGCCAGGAAGACAGCGCGCGGCTGGATAGAGGAACAGTTAAGATCAAAGAACAACTCCGCAGAAGAGCGGGTACCTGTCAAATACAGGTACCCGCCCCCCCCCCCCTCCCCAAAGGTCAGCAGTCATCTCCTGTGCTGTCCGCAGTCTCTGGCCATCCCTGTGCTGTCCGCAGTCTCTGGCCATCCCTGTGCTGTCCGCAGTCTCTGGCCATCCCTGTGCTGTCCGCAGTCTCTGGCCATCCCTGTGCTGTCCGCAGTCTCTGGCCATCCCTGTGCTGTCCGCAGTCTCTGGTCATCCCTGTTCTGTGTCTGCAGTCTCTGGTCATCTCCTGTACTGTGTCTGCAGTCTCTGGTCATCTCTGTACTGTGTCCGCAGTCTCTGGTCATCCCTGTTCTGTGTCTGCAGTCTCTGGTCATCTCCTGTACTGTGTCTGCAGTCTCTGGTCATCTCCTGTACTATGTTTGCAGTCCATTAGTTGAGAATTTTTTTTTCCTGTTTTCTGCCTCTAAAACCTAGGTGCGTCTTATGGTCAGGTGCGTCTTATGGAGCGAAAAATACGGCATTATATTTTGTTTAGCCAAATTAGTTAACAAACATGGATGTTTGTTTAAGCAAATCACATATGCTGTAATGTTATTGTTTCAGTTGAATAAATCTATTTAAATTATTATTAAGGTAATGATTATTTTTTCTCCATCCTAAGTACAACAGAAAAGTTGTCCAAATATGAATGATTAACCTATTAAACTGGGGATAAAAAAACTAATATGAAAAGTTGTTATTCTAAAAATCTTCATCTACTTGCATATTAAAGTTATACCAGCAAGAATTCGTTTTTATGTAGAAAACTAGGATTTAAATCAAGCCTTACTGACTAGTGATTTAAATCGTGATTTAAATCAAATCCACCCTGGTTCTTATCCAGTCTGTTTCTTCATCTCACCACTCTGTAACATACACTCCCTACTCCTCCTTCTCACAGTTGTATCCTCTCTCTCCTTCATCCCACAACTTACAGATATCACCCATAATCCTGTCTTCACCCTATTACTGTACTCATCAACTCCTGCTAATTCTGAACCCACATACTAATAAAACCTCCAGGACATTGGAACCTGTCCCTCCATGTAAGTCATACTCCCATATTACCTCCCTCACCCTTCTGCTTCTCCCAACATCTGGAGACATTTCCCCCAATCCTGGGCCACCATCTTTTTCCTTTGATCAACACACTCGGCTCCCCCTATCCTCTAACACCAGCCACAATCCACACAATCTAGTTACTATTCCTCTTCTTCCTAGAATCAGCCTCCCCTTTTCCTGTACCCTCTGAAATCCCCGCTCTGTCCGTAACAAACACACCTGTCCATGGCCTTGTGATCACAAACTCCTTTAACTTGCTTGCAATTACAGAAACCTGGCTTCATGAATCTGATTTTCTATCTCCTGCTGCCCTCTCCCACGGTGGTCTCCTCTGGACTCACTCTCCCAGGCCTAGTGGACAGAAAGGTGGTGGAGTTAAAATCCTCCTATCCCCTCAAAGCACTTTTCAGGTCCTTCGTTCACCTCCCTCTCTGTCCCTCTCCTCATTTGAAGTTCACTCTATTCCTCTATTCTCTCCAGTTTCTTTAAGAATTGCCATGATCTATCAGCCTCTTGGACCGGTATCAAGCTTCCTTGATGACTTCTCTGCCTGGCTGCCTTACGTTCCCTCTTCTAAAATTCCCACGATCATTCTTGATGACTTGAGCATCCCTGTCAATCTTAACACTCCTGCTACCTCTAAACTTCAGAGCCTAACCACTTCTTTTGACCTAAAACAATGGGCACATGCTTCTACTCACTCTAATGGTAACTGCCTGGACCTTGTATTCTCCTACCTATGCACTCCTTGCAACCTCACCAACTTTCCTCTTCCTCTGTATGATCACTCCATTACTATTATTATACAGTATTTATAAAGCTCCAATAGTTCGCTCAGCGCTGTACATTACAAAGGGGGACAGAACATGTGACAGAACAATACCAATAGAATGCAAAACATGAGGGGATCGAGGGCCCTGCTCTTTGGAGCTTACAATCTAGGATGGAGGGGATGGTGGCACAGGAGGAGATAGCTGTGGGGGATGGAGTGGTAGGAAGAGTGGAGGAGGTTGGCAAGTTAGCAGGGGGTGGGTAGGCTTAACCTGAAGAGATGGGTTTTCAGGGTGCGCCTAAAGGAGAGGAGAGTAGGTGATAGTCTGATGGGGGTTGGG